TCGTACATTAAAAATCCCCCCTCGCGTGAAGTCCCGACAGTGCTTCGCGCCAGCGTCTAGACATCACAACACAGCTCTGGCAAGTCCCGTTCTAGGAGAAGGGGGCGGCGGCATGGGGGCGAAACCCTTGCGGATTTACCATGGGTTCATACTTGAACGTCGTTCCTGACACGTGGTTGTACAACTACAAACTTGAAGACTACGCGTGCTTGAGACACTCATACATATATTACATTCCAAAAGTAATGGCGCCTTTAAGATTGTAATGTGCGCGCCCGGTCAAACCGCGACTGGCGTAAAGTATTTCGCACATTGCTGCTCCGATAATGCCATTGGAACGCTGTTGCTATGTAAAGAATCTGATTGAATAAAGCACACTCCGCTCGCGCAATAACCCCATTTGTTGAATTAAGACACAGACAAATAAAGCATGCTAAGTTGTCAAATCGAAAACGTCATAAAACCATTGCAAAATTGCTGGGGGCAAACATGATTTTCCACATGCAAAACATGTAGAACACAGCAACCGCCTTCAATGCTATATTTAAGAGTCATGAACTAATCGTTTCGGACATATGTTCTGCGAACGAATGTAACCCATCAAAAATTTATACGTCGCATGAAATGCCGAACTGTCCCAGTCGGGACTCACGCACCTAAAAACAACTACGCGTTCTAATGCACGGAGTTGTTGATCGAACGATTACGCCGTGATGTCTCGATATTCCGAACTGTTTGCTTTAATATCAAAACCTACACAACAACATGTCGAACAAGCATAATTTCAAGTCGAAGATATGCCCATGCCAAAATACGACTCCTTAGGCAACATACAAACCTATCACACTCAAAACTACAGGGTCGGTACATAATAAAATCACACAACCGAAGTATAACCAACAAAAGCATTCGAACTATAATAGAACGCCTGGCTTACACAGGCAGTACAAACAAACATGCAACACAACTTGACAAAACACACACACACACCTGACGAATAGCCACACCGTGCCATGGGTAAGCGGTAGCGCGAATACTATCTGCATCGGTGAAGCGTATCAATATTCAAAACACCCCACGCTACAGACGCAAATAACCATGTGACTCACGCCACGCCCAACTCTAGAACTATTATTTCAATCGCTCGCTGCATAATGGCATATTCCTTCGTTAATGTGTCGTTCTCATGTTTTACAAACAAAAATATAAAACTGAAGCCCAGCGTAAACACATGTCTGATCCTTCTAATGTGCCAATCCTGCTCCTGCAAATTTGCAAGTTCCGTGTTCGACACCAACGTTCTGGAGGTGAAATCATATGTTTCTGGACCCGCTCGACGCAATCCATGGTGGATAAATAATGCGTACGGTGAAACACTAACAGCACCCAAACCGGCTTGAATGGAGTAAGCACAAGCCAACTGACATATATAAACACCATTTACAGACAACATGTGACAACACATTAATTCAAAACTGTGTTCACCGCTGCGGAATGATAACTCATGTTGCCCCGCTTTGCGGAACTGTCTCCGCTCACAATAAGCAGTGCTGCTCGACCCACCAAAACATTGCAGAATTACGGTTGTCTCGTCTGGCTCGCTCTGTTGTGCCATGTCCTGAAACGCGCTCTGCGCGAAACGAAATGAACGTGGATCGCCTGACTGCACGCGCTGCCGCCAGAATGGGCACTGGCAGCTGGAGAAAAATGCGGCGGAACCCGTGGATGGAATACGTGCCAATGCAATGAAAATTAGACCAGACCCCCACAAATTTGGAACAATGATACCGTAATGGATTTGGCACGCCCTTGTTTGTTCCAAACGAATTGTCTACGTTTGCTCTTAATGCAACGTGGCCCGAAAACCAAGCGAATGATGTATATATTTGCCGATCGTCTGTCTAAACGCCGTAATATCGTAAGGCGTGGCTCGCGTTTGTTTATTCCTGCGGCTATGATGGTTGCTTAAACATGTTGTACATATCTACGCATGACTCAATGATTGCGCACACGTGCTAACTACACGATCGACAACGACGTAATCTAAACGTGTGTTGCTTACCGTCAGGCGGATTTCTATCCAACGTTTCAACATATATAACAACAAACAATGTGCCTCCGCATCTTCTGTTCATTTAAACTGAACAGACTTCCATGAAACACGGAAGTATATGATATAACAACGAAACAATACAATACAAATGGTGATTCGGAAACACAATCTATACTATTACATAATATCGCTGTCAACGGAACTTGTTGAATGGCATTTTCTACTGACTGACATTTCCTCAACACTCAAAACATATACATTGAAACGTGGGTCTGCAAAATAACGATGGTTATTTCAAACCACAATCCGTACGTATTCCAACTTTTCTCACAACGGCACGCAATCTGTGTGAATTGCATGCCCAACTCTATGTTGTCAGATCTCGGATGTGTGTCGTTTCTCTTTTTATAGACGACTTCACTCTCCCGCTTCCCGCTCTTATACTATTGCGTTTCGTTCCCAAGCGTGCCGCTAATCATTTGAAATTGATGCGGAAACACCAGCATTCGATTGACATGTGTACATCGGTCGCGCTCAGGAGCAATGTCTTACTTCCACGAGGTGTAGTAGAACGGAACAACCTAACCTTGTCCATATTCCGTTCTAGAGATAAACGCGTCTGTTCTCTTGGATTTTTTGCTCTCTGTCAAGAACAAATGCCTCTACCATTTCGAACGCACGACGCTTCCCATCTGCTGTTGCTTCCTTCGCGACGAACTCTTCTTCTTCACTGGCATGTCGTCTGAACCAACACTCAAAATGATTTGTCGCTATAATGCCTCAAGTTCCGAAGGTTCCTCCAGCATAATTTGATTGCCGTCCTCTGTTCGTTCTACTCGGTGACCTTCTGGAACTGAATCATCACTGTTGCTACCGGAGGTTGCCGATATAACAATACTCAAGGCGCTGAGAAATTCATGCAATAAAGCAACATGTGCATACATTCGTTGTCTCTTCTAGAAATCTGAAGAGACGAATGAATAGCAAGCATAACAACTTCAATCAATGTCGACAGAACGCAACAACGCGAAATGTATGTAGAATCTAATCTTGATTTCTTTTCAATCGATTGGGGACACAAATAGGGATTGATTATGACATCCTTTCTGTGCCCGTGCCCCACCGCCAACTAGCGCTGGAATTCTGGATTCAAACGTCCACACAGAGATTTGACGATTAAAAAACTGAATCGTCAACTTAGTAACCTTTTAATGCCACGCTCCCGAATATGTGCCCCAAAGCCGTCACGAATCCATTCTGGAACACGGGTAAAGAAACTCTGGTAAGCCGATCGATTTCGGAAATCTCCGGAAGATTGGCGGCAGCTTTAGCTTCGAGGTTTCTTTTGTGGGAATTCGACATTATCAAACAAGTTCTCTACCCTCGAAACCGAAACCTCGATGAAGGGAATACCTCATATTATATGAGTAAATACGATCTTTTTGCTTTCGAATAATTTCTGAATGATGATCGTTTTGCCAGTGCGGAACGAAGAAGCAGAAGCTATATAGATGTTGCGCTTGCAATGAGTATATATATATATATAAATATGTATATAAATATAAATGTGTGTGTATATATATATATATATATATATTCCTCTTCCTATAGTTCAACAAGCCCGGGCGGGGGGAAAATCCCTCCCCCCCCAAAAAAAACTGGACTCCCGGGATCTGAGGCTTTGGGACCCTCCAGTCGGGCCTCGAAGAGGCCCCCCGGGCCTCGCAGGGCGTTTTGCCAAGCCTTCCCAGCACACCTAAGGCGATCAGGGGGATCATCGGAGACGTTCCAGAGAACCCCAAGACAGAACAAGAGCGCTCCAAGAGTGACCGACGTGACCTCAAGATGGCCCAAGAGGCCTCCAGGACGGCCCCAAAGAGGCCTCCAAGAGCACTCCCAAGAAGGCCCCAAGAGGCAAAAATCATTGATTTTCTATTGGTCTTTGGTGAGTTTGGGGGTTCTCCTCTTTTCGGCTTCCCGGCGCTCCAAGATGGCGGTCTTTTGGGCGTCCGAAGCCGCCCCAGAGGCTCCAAAATCGCCCCACAACCATCCGAAAGGGCTTCCAGGCAGTCCAAGAGAGCCCCAAAACATCACAACACGGGTCCAAGATGGCCCTCAGAAAGCCCCATGGCGGCCCAAGATGGCCCAAAGACACCCTCCGAAGCATTCCAAATCGTGACCCAGTCGTTCAGGAAGACCGCGGTTGGAAGCAGGGTGGCCCGAGGAAGCCCCCAGAGGCCCCCAGAATACGCCCAGGGGGCCTCCAGACGGCCTCAAGAAAGCCTGGAACAACTTTTGCCAGGCCCCCAGAGGCTCTCCAAGGAGGAGCCTCCGCCAAAAAAAGAGCTGAGGAGGATGGGGAGAATGCGCAGAGTATGGCGAAAATGAAAAAGGTAAACATGAAGGAAAGATAACGGATAACATTATTATGGCGGCGATGCCGGAACAGGCAACAAGGAGTTATGGCTAAATTGTCCGCTTGACCTTCCTGCTATTTCGCCTGTATACCAAACTTCAAGGACCAAGGCGCATGGCGCGAAGCGCCACCGCAGTCTTGTATGTGTATATATATATATATATATTCACATATATCTATATATTCATATATAGATATATATACACATGTATATATATACATATATATATGTAGATATATAAGTGGTAGGTAATCGCACGTAAGTATCCATCACCACTGAAATCTAGATTTGAGTGATTTGAGATGAATCTAGAATTCCGCGTCTTCCGCTGATGGGTCGGATGGCAAGTCCTGGGCCTCGGTCGCTATCGGCTGGCTAGGTGGCGCAGTTAAAAAGTTAGGATAGGAGGGAGGGAGGAACATCGAGAGAGAGGGAGGGAGAGCAGAGGAGAAGGAGGAGGAGCAAGGGGTCTGAGATCTCCAATCCCGCTCTCATCCTTACCATCCCTCCCCCCACGCTTGCGGTCACGCCTTGTGGCATTGACGGACGAGCTTCTTTGAACCCTCCGTGCTGTTCTGCAGGAGGGGCTGACGCCACTGGCGGTGGCATAGTCCTCGGACCCCGCACTGTGGGGGGCAGATGGTGGGCCACGGTGGTTGACGAGGTGTTCACAGTCGTGGGCGTAAGTGCGAGAGCCCCGCCGCTTTGCATGTTCCTCACGCACTTCGGTCTCTCTCCACTTTGCATGGGCTTCTGGACCGACTCGTTGTTCGCCGAAAGCGCAGCACTGACCCAACGGCTCGATCCCAACGCTACGCAGGCAAAAAGGCGAGCACCCCAGCGGGCGGTTAGGGTCCCCAAAGTCCCAGCGACTCGATCAAGGAAATTCTTTACTGCTGCCGCTGCTGCTGCTACTGCTCGTCGTCGTCGTCCTCCATACCCCAGGCAGCTCGCGGCACTTCTAATGTGAGCAGAGTTAGGGCTTGTTCGAGTGGGCAGGGGACATATACAGCTCCCAGAACCAACGCCGCCACTGCTCACCCTCGTCGTCGATGTGAATGCCATCCTCCTCCTCCTCCTCCTCCTTTACCTCGTCATTGTCGTCCTCCGTCTCTGCTCTCTGCGTTGGTTTTCATTCTTGGCCCAGCTGTTCCCCTCCCACTTTCCATACCCCTCGCGCTCCCTGCTCCCAGAGCCCATCTCCGCTCTCCTTGCCCCGATCTCCATTGTCTCCATTCATTGCTCCCTTCTCATCTCCCCCTCATCCCTATTCCACTCTCGTCTCATCCTCATTCTCCTCCGCCAGGCCCTTCCCTTGAACTGCTAGTACCCTGTGCTATTGCCTGGCAGGCTGGCTCGCCAAGGCATGCGCCAAAAGGAAGCGGAAAGCCATCAGGCACGCCCGATACATGAAGATCTTCCTCAACACGACCTGATATGTTAGGCCCAGGGAGAAAAAGGGCGAATGCTGGCGGGCCGCTCGGAAATACGCACCCAGAGCAAACAATGATGTTGCGCGCAGGAGGAGCGGAACGATGGCGCAGGAGGTTGGCGACGATCTCGGCATCAACTCCAGGAGGCAGCCAGGAAGAGGAAGAGGAGGAGGAGGAGAAGGAGAACGAATCATAAGGCGGATCAAGGGGAGGGTGAGAAAGAGCAGGAGGAGGCCGGCGGCGACCATGTTGGCCGTTCGTGAGCAAACGCTGATGTGTCACGCGCTGTGGAGACAGCCAACGGCGAGGCCAGGCCCCCGTGGCGCAGCGCTCGTCGCATGCGCAGGATGCGCGCGTCGGGCTGGGCACCTGCAGGGCTGGGGACATCCAGCGTCCTGGAGATCCCGAGGACTTGGGTACGGGCGCGGAGGGGGGGGGAATGCGGAGGATGAAGGGGAGGAGAGAGGATGGGGGTTTGCTTGGGGACGGGCCTAAAGCCAGGGCGAATCGATCAAGCAACATCGGACGCGTCGGAATCGAGCCCCTCCTCCAGGGGAGCTGGACGACGCGTCGGGGCCTTCCCCCGAGCACGCAGCCAGGGGAGGTCATGAAAGAGCATAGGGGGAGGAGGAAGAGAAAGAGTGGGAGGAAAAGGTCGAGGTGGGCAGGAGGAGGCGGGGAGCTGGAAGCGGAAGCGTGAAGACGGTCTACCGCATCGACGTCGGGGATGATGCGTAGGTCAATGCACTGGCAAACTTGTTGGCAATACGTATGGCGGCTGGCAAAACAGTCGTATAGGATTCCCTCACAATCAAAAAGGGGATGGGGGGAAGAGGATGACGAGGGAAGGGGAAGCAGGAAAAGAAGTGGGGAGGAATGGGGGAGTAAAAAGAGGAGGGGGAGGAACACGATGAGGAGGAGAAGGAGAAACAATTTGGGGAACGAGCGAGAGACCACCAGTGCGGACAGTAGTCTGGGTCTGCTTGAGACCAGGTGAGTGAAGAGGAAAAGGATGGGGAGGAGAAAGGGGAGGAGCAGAATATCAAGTGGAGATGAGGAGTATGCGGACGACCTCCCATCGGATGCGGGCAGGGGGGGGGGAATGAGGACGAGGAGCAGGTGGCCACTGCCTGACATCGACCGGCAATTTTGCGGCCGGCGACCGAGTGCTTGCGCACGAAGCCCTGCACGCGTGCCATCTGTCGGGATGGGAGGGTACGGGGGGGACATACATACATACATGATATATATATATATATATAGATAGACAGATCTAGAGAGAGAGAGAGAGAGAGAAATAGAGAGAGAGGGAGAGAGAGAGAGAGAGAGACAGAGACAACGAGAGAGAGAGAGAGAGAAAACAAAAAAAGGGAAAGAGAGAGAGAGAGGCACGGGGGGGACGGAGAGAGAGAGAGAGAGAGACAGAGAGATAGAGAAAGAGGAACAACGTGTTGGTGGAACGCTTTGGCAAGCACAGCGTGCGCGGGGGAAAAAAGGAACGAGCAGAGCCAACCACCAAACCGCGCACCCGTAACCAACGGTACGGGCGCCCCCAAACCCCTTCCTCCCCGCAGTGCGCGGGCGAGGAGGGGGCTCCCACAGGGGCGGGTTTGGATCAGGGGCGGCAGTACCCGCAGGGACGAGCAACGCCCGAGGACGAAGCGCAGGCTTCGAGTCGAGACAGCTGCGCCGCTGAGGCCCTCACCTGTTACTACGCGGCTGGACAAGGATCAGATGATGCGGGCACTGCGAAGCGAGGGGCCGAACAGGCTAAAATTCTTGCAGCTCGTGGACGGACGTTGTTGGGATGACCGTGCGGGCTGGGTACCAGCACCACGGACCAATACGCCCGACACAATCTTCGCCTGCCTTGAGATGGTGCTGGTGGAGGCCGGGCAAGCCTCGTTTCCACAAAGCCACATCAATCAATGTAGCGAATCACCGCCAACGAAACCTCCAATTCTTTACCACCGATGACGAGATGTCACCTTCTCGATTCCTTAAGGCGAGGCCCTTTTCAGAACAATCCGGCGCCATCATGTGCTGAGCTGCCCGGCGGGGGGATGGTACCAGCATCCACCCCCTCGTTAGCATGAAGGCATCAAGGGATGTGCGCTTGCACTGTACCTTGTGTTCGCTGTCAAGGCGAATGGAAATGATAGGGGAAGGAGGGGTAGGAGGGGGAGGGGCCTCGGAGGAGGCGGAAGAGGATCAGGAAGACCATATTGATGACAGGGAGGAGGGGGAGAAAGAGGACGAAGACAAAACACATGAAGGAATAATCACCCGCTTGATCCTCGCTCAGCCCTCGGTTCGCAGCCCTGTGCTGCGGAGGGCGGGAACTGCTGAGAGAGGCATGGCAGATTTCAAACTAAGTGCTGGCACTCTCGATGGATGATCTATCTTTAAGCGGTGGCAGGACATCGCGGGGGGGGGAGGGAGGGAGAGACGTAGGGCAGGGAGGGTAAGGGAAACGTATAGGGAATGATGGGGAATGAGGTGATGGAGCGGTTGTGGGACAAGCGGGATGGAACGGCGCAGGGAGAAACTTTTGTGGACCCCCCCTTTCCTGTCCTCGACGTTCTCTGCGTATACGTCCACTCCCCGCTACAGCGCCCTGCTGCCCCCCCCCCGAAGTGGGTGGTCCCATCCTGACCGCCAAGGATCAGGAGAGAAGATTGTGTTGACGGGTTGAAAAGAAAGGGGGACATACATGGAATGATGTCACGACGACTGTGATTATACAGCGATGCTACTACGACGAATGATTGCTTTAGTGATTGGCATCCTTGCAATGGTGGATACGTCGGGGACGAGGCAAGGATAGACGATCAGACATAATGGATGACGGATGATGGTGGCTGTGACGATGATGATGGCGATGCTGGTGCTGATCTTTGCGGCAGGGGTGCGGCGCATCCCGAATCCGAGGCTCGGCCAGCACTCACGACGCCGCAAACGGCAGCAAACATGTCCACGATGAACTTCAGGTCGAAGATGCAGCTCTTGAAGCTCTTGAAGCTCCGCTCGCCGCAGCACCAGCCGTGCTAAGCTTCTTGATCGCCAGCGTCTTGGCCACGTTGTAGGCCTTCGCCCATTCTAAACTGTTGGGCTGCAGCCCCTTCCTGGTCTGATCCGGGCCAGATTCTGGATCCCCGCTTGCTCGAGGATGCCGCTGCACGGCTTGGCCAGGTCCTTCATCACCTCCCTCGCGATGCGGCCGCTGACCGTGCAGGAATAGACCTCCACGGCTGCGTCGTACTCCGCGAGGTGCGTCTCTGCGCCTGCTGCGTCCCACTTGGACGTCTTGGCTCAGCTTCGCGCCGAAAGGCGACGTCTCCTTTGCCGCCAACTCCGCGCGTGGATCCTTCAACCAGGTGTCCTGTTTGTGATTCGGCACCCTCTTGCCGCGTTGCTCGCCCTTGAAATGCTTCGCAGCTTGGGTGCTCTATGATGATGTGTTTGGTGTTCGCGACAAGCTGTTTGCGCTTCTCGAGATTCGTCTTCCCCTTCCAGCGCTCCTTGACCGTGGGCTGCTGAGATGGCTCCGCCTCCATCGCCGCCGCGAGCGTCGCGCGCGCCCTCCTGCGGATCTGGGTCGCAACTTCTTCCGCGCACCTGATATTCCGCACGGTGCCCCCCGCGAGTTCGCCCGCGAGGTGGTTGCCCGCGAAGTCGCCCATATCGACCTCTGCCCTGCTAGCATCCGTCACAGGCATGTGGTTCTCGATCTTCGCGACCACCATCTCCTTCAGATTGGCCACTTCGCGGCGCCGCTTCCAGATGAGGGTCCTCGTGCGTCTTGGGGGGGGGGGGGGGGCCCTTTGCGAATCCGACCCACTCCTCTAGCAAAGTAGCTGGATTCCGTGGTGTACTTTTAAACAATGGTTACTTTCATCTTGTGCGACTGTGCATGGGCCCGAACATGTCGACCACCGCTGACAGCTCAACTCGGTTGATGCTCTGCCGCCAACCTGCCAAGCCCCCGCGGCCGCCGATGGTGGACCTGCCCTCGATCACGTCCGAGTTGAAGACGATCCAACTCCACGCGATCCTTCTCGTCTTCGGGCCATCGGTATTCTCGCCCCCCGATGCGTCGCCTGCCGTGTAGACCCATTCGTCGATGCCCAGGTGGGCCTCCCCGACCACCTGGCGCGGCTCTTTTCCAGGCTCAAGTGGCGTCGTGACCTGCGTCCAGCTCTTCGGCAACATGCCTCTGAGCCACGGGCGCGGCTGGATCTCGACCCCCTCGTCAGCCTTCTCCTCCAAACGCTTGGGCGTCTCGCGCCCGGGGGTGATGCCATTGCGCTTGCTTTTCCGCATGCGATGCTCCCAGGTCTCTGGTTACTCCTCGCACCTGAGGCATGACGCGTTCCCGACCTCGACCCGATGTCGGCGACCCGCTGCCGCGGCCAGATACCACCAGTAAGCATCGCCTGCAAGGCCCCGACCTTGTCGAACTTCCCCTGCTTCTTGAGCCTCCTCAGCAGACCCCTCGCGGAGTTGAGGTCCGCGCCATCCTCCGACACCTCCCCGGCGTGCTGTTCCGCTGCCTTGCCTCGGCCCACTGCCTCTGCTCGACGGTGTCCGCGGGTGCCGCCTTCAGCTCGCCAGTGCCGACCTCGTCGCCCAGCTCCTCGGCGTCGTCACCTCCGAAGACCTCGCCGCTGCCTGGCCCCCATTGCCATGGGGCGTGGGGCGCCCGGCCCAGGTCCAGCAGCGTGCAGGCCATCGCCCTAGCGACTGCTGTCACCCCTCGCCATCGATCGCTCTCTTTCTCGGCCTTCATATCCTTGGCGATCCTCTCCCAGATCAGCTTCGCCTTGCGACTCCTCCTGTCCTCGCTGATGATGTGCATCCGGGAGCCCGGCAGCGAACAGAACGCCCCGTGCCCTGGGTCGCCTCGCCCAAGCTCCAACTGCAACAGAGTGGCAAGGCACCTTCCGCTCAGCCGAGGCGCGGCCACGCCTGCTAGACTCCCCCTCCACTTGGTTATCACCGAGGGCGCCGTGCCGAAGACCTCGCACGCGTACGCCGCCCTCGGCAGCGAGCCCCTATGCACGACTGCACGCGCTCCGCCTCGAGCCCTTCGCCCAGCTCGGAACGCCCTCATGGCCTTTGCCACCTGCCTGTCCGCGTGCGCCGTCCTCTTCGCGAGATTGTACTTGCCCTTCGCGACGTTGCCACTGTCGATCCCGAGGTCGGGCGCCTGGTCCCTCAGCGTGACCGTGATGTTGCGGCTCCTCAGTTTGAGCACGATATCCTGCGCCACCTCCTTGTCGTTACCGATGACTGCGGACTTCTTGCAGAGCATCAGCTACGCCTTCTTGACGCCTGCTGCGAAGTCCACCCCTGCCCCCGTCAGCTGCTTGATCACCTGGGCCTTCGACCCTTCGATATTCGCTGCGATGTCGTCGACCCACCAGCGCACGTACACTTGCGTGATGTAAACATTTCGCTCACCTTCTCGAGCCCCGCGCACAGCGCGACCCTCCCGCAGTCGATTCCCCTCCAGGCGCCCGCGCAGATGGACCTCTCGGGCGCGATGGGCTCCGCGTGCGCCGTCCTCTCCCTGACGAGCCTGCTGCTCGGGTGCCTGAGCACCTCCAGCTGCAAAGTGCGCGCGGGTAGCCCGAGCCTGATCACTTCGTCCAAGACAATACTGGCTCCAAGATGTCGTACAACTCCGCCAAGTCCCAAAGCACCGTGGCCGAGTAGATCTTTTGCGGCGCCAACTGGATGACCTCGTCGGCAAACGACCGAACCAGGGCCTCCTACAGCGCGCTGTTGTCTGCTATGGCCCCGCCCCACTTGCCTGCCATCGCCTTGATGATGATGATGATGATGATGATGATGATGATGATGATGTTGATGGTGATGGTGATGGCGATGATGATGAAGACGCTGATGATGATGGCATCATGACGATGAGGATGATGTGATGCAGATGATGATGAAGGCGATGAGGGTGATGACATGATGACGATGACGATGATGACGACGGTGATGACGGCCCGGCTGGCCGGCCACCTCAGCCCTGCTCCGGCGGCGGCGGCGGCAGCGGCGCAATGGCGCCGAGGATGGCCTCAGCCTCCGCGGCCACCGCGGCAGCGCTGATGGCAGCTAGCAGCGCCCGGCTCGGGGGCGGCGCCGGGAGGCCTCGCGCCACCCACGCGTGGTTGGCCGCGTCCACGTCGATATTGCGCAGGATGGCCAGGGCATCCTCTCCCAGCCGGCCGCCGACGCCGACTGCGAAGGCGGCGACACGATCGCCGTACCGCTGGCGCTTGGAGCGCTCTGCGGCGCGCGTCGCCAAATGCACAATCGCGAGCTTGAGGTCGTTATTATGCCACCGTTCCCCCTAAAAAGGGCCTATCATGCAGCGGACCGCGTGCAGACCGCCGATATCCAGCTGCCGCCCGCATGGGTGCCCACGCCTCGGGCCGCCACAATAGCAGCGAGCACACGTCTGGCCCGGCTCCAAGACGGGTGCCGGCCGGCAGCCAGCGCCGGTTGCCGATCCATGATGTCGAGGGCGCTGGCGCCGCTGACCAACAGAGGCCAGCCCCCCTGCCGCCTCTCTCCAGCAGATTGGCGGCGCGCTCCGGCGGCAGCGCGGCCACGAGGTCGGCGGCCCGCAGCGCCGCCAGCCCACGGCCCAACCTCCCCGCGAGTCGTCGCCTGCCCCCGCCCCTCTCCACGTCCCCGACGTGGGCCCCCGGGACGAACGTAGCGAGGACTGAGCGGTCAGGATCCAGAGCCTGTGCTTGCGCATCCTCTGCGTCGTGCGCGAAGGTGAAGATCTCCTGCACGGGCAGGTCCCCAGCCCAAGGCGACGCCGCGTACCTGGCCGCTGCACCCAGCTCCAACTCGATCCGGCCAGAGTCCACCACGATGCAGCTCTCGGCGAGGACGTCCTTGGCCTCGACCGCGGCGTGCCTGTCGGGGTCCTCCTGGTATGGCAGCCCAGCCTGCAACGCAACGCGCTGAGCATCCGCCGCGGTCGCAACCCAGCCACTCCAGAACCCGGCCGCGGCGTCGGCGACTCGCGGCATGTGGTGGTGATGATGATGATGATGATGATGATGATGATGATGATGATGATGATGATGATGATGATATGATATGATATGATATGATATGATAATATATTATGATGATGATGACGATGACGATGACGATGACGATGATGATGATGATGATGATGATGCTGATGCTGATGCTGATGCTGATGCTGATGCTGATGATGGTGATGATGATGATGATGATGATGATGATGATGATGATGATGATGATGATGATGATGGTGGTGGTGGTGATGCTGATGATGCTGCTGATGATGCTGATGATGCTGATGCTGATGCAGGGAAAGAGGGAGGAGGAATCAAGCGAGGAGGAGGAGGAGGAGGAGGAGAAAGAGGAGGGGACTAGACAGGGAGGGAGGGTGGAGGATGAATATGAAGATGAGGGGATGGAGACAGAGAGACAGACAGAGAGAAACAAAAGTGAGGAGGATATGGGAAGGAGGAGGGAGGACGAGCGGGTGGATGACTGTCCCCTGCACTTCCCTCCTAGGGCAAAGCATACTTTTCAATATCTGTGGTGGCAGGGCAGCGAACGCCCAGCCGAACGCCCATGGTCTGCGATGACTGGACATCGTGCCCCAGAGATGCGAACACGCCCTGCACCACGATGGAGGAGGAGAGGGCTGACAGAGACAGGGACGGGCACGCCGCACCAGGCAACTACCCGACCCGAGGGAGAGGAGGGAGGGAGAGGAGGCCCGCGTGGCCCGGCGTGGCCCCCGCACCGCTCGGGCGAGGCCGCCACATGCGCAGCAGCCTTGTGGGGGGGGGGGGGGACGGCAGGGGGGGACTGGCTCGGTGGGGTGGGGGGGGCATCGACCTGGAGTCGGCGATACATGGCCGATGCATCGGCGATAGGCCCCCGATGGCGAGTCCCTATGGGGGTCGTTGCGTTTCCCCCTCAGGCTGTCCCCCTCTAAAACTGTCCCTGAAGCCTGCGCATACAGCCGCACAAGAGGCACTCGGCAATGGGATCGTCCGCAAGCCTGCACGGGTGGTCGCCCTCGAAGCGGTGCCGCACCAACGGGTCGGACGAAAGGTGGGGCCAGCAATAGAAAGGGCTTTGGCGAATCAGCTCGCGCAGCCGGTTTTTCCGGAGCCGCCAATTCATCGGGGAGAGTGTCTGGCGGCGGGGCCAGAACCAATTGAGTGCACCGGATGTTGGATCCCGTTTTCCCGTACGGCCAAAGATTTTTGCTTAGCGTGTCGCTCCGCCGTTTTTGGCCCACCGCGCTTCGGCGCGACATGCCAACCACGTCCTACTCCCCAAGCGTCAACATCCCCAGCCGTTCCTGGCCTCCTTTCCCGCGGAGCGGAGCGACGCGCTACCCGCTCGCAAGACATAGCGTGCCGCCGTAGCCGACATCGCGGCACGCTGATCACAGGTTCCCTGTCGTCCGACCCGAGTATGCAGACGTCCTGGTTGCAGCGCCCACACCTGTAGGTGTTGTGGGCCGCCAACCTCTCCCTGCACCCCTCGGCGGGGCATCGGGGCAACCGGGCGGCGGCGGGCGCGACCCCGACGCGCCGGTCCTCGACAGCCGTGCAGCCGTGGGCGTCGTGGCGGTGGTGCTCCTGGCAGAACTGCTGGCGGCAGGCGCCGCACGCGAACGGCAGGAAGTCTTGCCGCCCGCAGGAGGGCTCCGAACAGCGGGCGCCCGCGTCGCTGAACTGGGCCATGAAGCTAAGATGAGGAGGAAGAGGAGGAGGAGGAGGAGGAGGAGGAGGAGGAGGAGACCAGCGTACCCAGAGGTCAGCTCCCCGCGCCTAGCACGGCGCCTGAGGCAGCATGGGCACGCCTCCTGTCGAAGCTGTTGTAGCTGAGGCCGCCGACGCTGCAGCCCATGATGTGCAGCGGATAGCCGTCGAATTTATATCATTCTTATTCAGAGGATGCTGAGTGCAGGGGGGAGCGAGAACGCAAGATGGGACCGAGACGAGACGCAGAGAGCAGTGAGGACAGTGCCGAGAGCGTGCAGGTGAAACACGAACACGCCACGAAAAGGAAAGGGACGAGAGAGAGACCCTCATCCAACACGGGGCACTCTCCGCGCCTTGCGCGGGGCCGGGGAGCAACGGCGCGAGGGTCACTAACGGCGCAACGCCGGGCAGTCCCCACTCGCACCGCGCCCCCCGTTGGGAAGACGACCTACGCCTGTACTTCCGCCCACTATGAAGGTGCCTCGGGCTCGGGCGCTTGAGGAAAATGGGCAACAGGAGCCTTTTCCGACGGCACTCACACACATAGGGCAATCTGAGGGTGCCCCCAACTCCTGTACCAGGACTCGTACCAAAAGAAGAAGAAAGAGTAGCACTGCATGACCATGACGACGAAATTCTCGTCAGAGGCGAAATCGAAGAGGAGGGTCCCGCCATCAGCGACGGACAGGGCGCAAACGAAGGGGCGGCAGCCGTCGAACACGGCCAGGTCGGGGAAAACGGGCACGGGGTAGTAGCAAAGAGAGAGGCGATCCGTGTCCATAACGGAGAAGCTCGTGACGACAGCGTAACTCTCCGAGACGGCGCAACTCTCGAGGATGGCGTGCAGCTCTCGAAGACGGCGCAACTCTCGTTGACGGCGACACTCTCGAAGACGGCGCAACTCTCGAAGACGGCGCAACTCACCATGACGGGGCAACACTCGACGTCGGCGCGATTCACGAAGAAGGCGCAATTCTCGATGTCTGAGCCCTTATTTCCATCAGAGGCGGTCGACCTCCGCACAAGAGGTGAGATCTCGCAACTTACTCCAGAGCCCTTATTTAAAACAGAGGCGGTCGACCTCCGAACTCGAGACACAGGCTCGCAACTTACTCCAGAGCCCTTATTTAAAACAGAGGCGGTCGACCTCCGAACTCGAGACGCAAGCTCACAACTTACTCCAGAGCCGTTATTTCCATCAGAGGCGGTCGACCTCCGCGTTCTAACGCCAGTGGCCGCAGGGCTCGAGGAGCACCCTGCGATCGAGACCTGGAGGAGGAAAGAGGCATGGTCAACGTCACCATCACCATCGGCGGCATCACCATCATCGGGATCCACTGCTGAGACGAGTGAGGCAAAGTAGTGCACCGACCCGTTGGCAGCAACGATGGGCAGGGACTCGTCTCCATTGCTGTCCACAAGGAAGTCACGAATACGGTGTGGTGCAGCGGGTCCCAAGTATTGCCTCATCTCTCTGCGAATCTCACGAAGGGCTTGGAAATGTCGATCCACCATCTCTTCCCAGAGCCCGTGCCGCGTCAAGGAGTTACGCGGGTCATTCAGCCACCGAAAGTAATCTACAGTATTGAGGCGCCCCTCGGTAGAGGTGTCCCAGGCAACCATGCAGATATGACGAGCGAGTTCGTCGAGAGCACCACTCCAACCAGACGAATCCACCCATTCCATCGCCTCAAATTTGGCACGTACGTATGGGATGCACCACATCAACCAGTCGGCACGGCCGCTCTCGGAGTCATCCAAGCGCAAGATCCAGCGTGTAGCCCTTGGCGCAATACGTTCGCCAAAGACAACAGGTGTTGCATGCTCCACAGAGGAAGAATCTGGATGGCCCGCCAGATGCAGGATGTGAGTACTCGGTGACGGCGTCGACTTCGACGAGGTGGCATCGTCCAGACACCGCAACTGTTGAGGGAGAGAGGGGTCCTCACGAACAGGAAGCCCACCAGCACGAAGGCGTTCGACACGCTTGATGGTCGCACGATATTCACGTTCAAGCCGAGTAACATCCGCCTCACATGCAGCTGGGACAGACAACGACACTGCATGTACCGCGGAGAGCGCCACCGTGGCGGCAAGCGGCCATGGGAACATGGATGCCGCAGGTCGCGGCGAGGTGGCAGCAGGAGCGGACGCCCGCCCGTTGACGACCTGCCTAGAGGGCAGGGCCTCGCACTGAGCCAAAGCGCCAGCAGGAATGGGAACAGGAGACACTGGATGGGGAACAGGTTGGCCAGCTTCATCAGCGCTATGTATCACATCGTCGTCACGCGGGGTGGAAGGGACCAGGTCAGGGATGGGGGCCGCAGCATCTGAACTCAAACAGGAGGTGGACGATGAGGTGAGCACATCCCACTGAGGCTGCCTTCGGCGGATCGTCTGGACAGCGGGAGGAGGTTCCCACCGTTTCAATTTGGCTGAAGGCCTGGCCAGACGAGAGGTGCGGACGGCGGCCTCAACATAACCACGCAACTGACGGGGAGTCGACACTAGAGCACCTTGCCGAGCATAGTTGAAGACCTGGTAATAGACATAGAGAGCTTCGAAGTGGTCAGGGTGGGGGTGGGCAAGGCCAAGACGCTGAGCCAGGGGGCGAGGCAGGGCACGCTGTAGACCTTTGCAGACTGCCAGGTACAATTTAGGGCAGCGCAGATAATGTTGCAGCCGATCAGGGCCAGGGCATCCGAAACGACAGCGAAGTTTGCCCCTCGGGTGGATAATCCTGTGTGATGTCAGCCATCCATGCCCCCAAGTCCGTAAGGCTGCCATCGCCCAGCTTTGCGGAACCAATGCCAAAAGCTCCTGAATAGCGGGCCAGTGGATCAGGTTGAGGAAGGGGAGGTAAGCTGTGAATAACGGGGTTAAGTGGCGAATCAGCATGGCATGTAGAGGTTTGTGCGTACACATGTTCTGACCCAACGAGCGGGCAGCAGCACGTTGCAGCTTGGGCCTTCGCGTCGTAACCTGAGCTTCCTCACGCATGGCAAAGCGAGCGGCGACGAGTAGGGGCTCTTGAGACCTCACGTGGACCAGCTCAAGGTGCTCGACGAACGCAGGGGATTTCCAGAAAGATGGATAAACACGGGAGCGATCCACAGCAGCCAAGGGGATATCATCAAACTTCCCTTCCACAACCTCTCTGTGCCAAAGAGAAGCCGTTTGTCGCAGAAGCCGTAAGTATTCCTCAAAGCCCTGGAAGGTGTGAAAAGCAGCACGTAGGTGAGCTGCAGTAGCATGGGCAGCCCACGATGGAATCTGAGGACCACCCCAGGCCGGGAGCTCCAGGATCGATTCGTTCGAAAAGAGGCCAAGAGGAGCACGGAGAACTTGGGCGATGGCACCACGCTCAATGGGAAGGAACCATTCGGGCATAGGGAGGAATTGGGCTACATACGCCAAACAGGGGTAGACCCGCGTGCGGTACAATATACAATTCGTACAGACTGACGCAACCCCACGTCCCAACATCCGAGAGCGAGATCGTGCCTTCATAAGTGGGCCCCTCCAGTTCATGTCGACCGTCGCATCTGGGCCCAAGATCATCCCAAGATAAAGCAACCACCCCTCAACGGCAAAGCCTGACCAGTCACTCGCGATAGAAGCCAGCTGGGTCTGGGTCATGGTTTTCAGGGTTTCTGTGATGCGGCCGACGAGAGGGACCAGGGTGCACTTGCTGATCTTAATCTTGAGGCCCGCAATCTTTTCCATGACACCGAGGACCCGCACCAGGATGCGCAGAGAGGCTAGCTCATACAGGACAGCGCCTAGATCATCGGCACAGGCACGGCATATCCCCAACTGACGTTGCTCAATACTCCGCTCGAGGTCGGCCAACATGGGGGAGGAGGCGAGAGCGTACAAAGACCCCGAGAGACCACAGCCTTGGATGATGCCCGAGCGGATCCAGAAGATGGTCGAGTAGCATCCCCCATCCAGGACCACACCTTCAACAGCCAAATACATCCAGCCCACAAAAGCGAGAATCTCGGCGGGGAGCCCAAGAGAGCCCAATAGCTGTAGCAGGAAGGACTGCGACAAGCTCGGGAAGGCCTGCCCGTAGTCGAACCCGACGAGGACAGGGTAACGACGCACAGCTAGGGGATGTTGCGATGCAAGCCGTGCATGGACATCCAGCTCAAGCACGTTGTAGCAAAAAATTCGTCCTCTAATGAAGCCTCTCTGAGAAGCAGGTGCAACGGCTTGGACGACAGGCTCGAGGACCCTGTTCATGACCGAGCTCAGGATCTTAACGTCGGTGTTACGCAGCCCCAGGACCCGTATCTTATCGGGAGACCGAGAACAAACCCCAGACGGCAAATCTGAGTCATCAGCACCTTTGGGGAGGAACGCCTGGAGGGTGACGCTGGCAGAGGCAAACAACGACTGACCTTGGCATAGCCATCCGAACATTCTGGCCAGGTGCTGGGCGCCGTAGTCGCACGCCGACCAGGCCGCATAAGGCAGCCCGTCGACACCGGGAGCAGAGTGACGAGCACGCCTGAGAACCTTACGAAACATTGGGGTCAGAGGACAGTGCAGGTCGATGTCAGAGGCCTTGGTGAGGAACCTATCGAGGTACATCTGGGTCATGACAGGGTGGGGCTCTTTCTTGGAGAAGACAGGGGTCCAGTAGGCCGCCAGGGCCGCAGTGCGTTCCCGAACCTCTGAGAAGGGGCCCTCAGGGGTATTGACCGCGGACAGAATCAGGCGCTTCGAAAACGGGGCCCATATGGAGGCCTTCCTTTCCATAGCTCGCAAGAGCGTGGCCGAATGAGGCCGCCAGGCAGATGAGGAGCCTGAAGGAGCACGATCAGCAGCAGCAGCAGCAAGTTCTTTTTCGAAGACCAGCCGATGTACTCCAGCGGCCCACTGCTCGAAGGACGGGGCGTGGCGCAGCGAGACGACCTGGCCGTCGACCGTCAGGGCGTCGGCGGCGCGCTGGGAGGTCTCGATGAGCTTGAGGGCAAGGGCAGCGTCTTGACGCCATACCGCACGTGCTATCCCACGAGCAACC